ATTAGGAGCTCGTTCAGTTTATGCTGCTGCCTCCACACTGTGGAACAGCCTTCCAGCAAGTATTCGGGAAATAACATCACTCAGCACTTTTAAGAAAAAACTTTAGACACATCTTTTTAATTTAGCTTACAACGAGTAACTTTTCTTGGGGTGGTCAACTGTGTATTGTTTGTATTAGGTTTTATAGATAATATTTCTTATAATTCATTATAGTTATTGTATTTTTATATATTCTTTTAAATTCATGTAAAGCGCTTTTGATCATTTTAATGTTAAAAGGTGCTATATTAAGTGAATAAATTATTATTATTATTCTCACTCATTTTATCAATACCTGTATTGCCTCTTCGACGTTTCCTTGAACATGGAAAACTTCTCGGGTTTCACCCATCCCAAAGACGGATTACCCACCGACTACAGAGCGAGAAAGAATTACCGCCCAGTATCTCTTTCAAAAGTGTTTGAACGGTTAGTGCTGAAACAATTAATTTCCTACATTGATGAGCTTTCTTTATTGGCACCAAGTTTATCTGATCTGGTTTCCGCAAGGACTATTCTATTATAACTGCGCTGCTAGGTATTCGCGATGATCTCCGAGCTATGAAGAGGGGTGAAGTCAGTTTGATGGTTTTCGCAGACTATTCTGAAGCCTTTGACACAGTTTGTTTTAAGACAGTACTAACCAAGATGCACGCTTTAGGTTTTTCAAACGAATTTCTTACTTGAATGGTCCACTACCTCTTTGATCGCCGCCAGTTCGTTCAAATAGACGACAAGACCTCGTCTATCGAGACTGTACTGTTTGGTGTCCCACAAGGACCGATACTCGGACCTATTATTTTCAACCTATATGTTTCTGATCTTCAAAAACACATTAAATGTCCTTGTTACCAGTACGGGGACGATACAACTTTCTTCCTTCACTCAAAGACGAAGGACTTAGCTAATGGTGTCGCGGAAATAAATGACGCAATATGACGTTTGGGGGATTACTCATCTAAATCAAACCTCGCGTTGAATGAAGGTAACACAAAGTGGATGCTTGTTTCCACCCACCAGATGTCTCGAGCTCAAACGTTACACGATTATTATCAGCTGTGAGCTGTAACGGGAAGCTGCTAAAACGTGTCAACACAGCTAAGATACTGGGGGTCCACATTGACGAACACCTAACATGGGCTTACCACGTGACTGTACTTCTGCAACATTGGCAGTTCTCCGGAAACTGCGCAACCTCGCACCATACCATGTTCGCAAGCAGTTAGTGAAGTCATTGGTGATGCCAAAACTGGACTACGGGTGCGTCGTCTTCTATTCCCTTCCAGAATACCAAATGAAACGGCTGCAAAGAGTTCAAACAACATGAGCGGGCTACGTACTTGGGTGGTACGCTGTCTTAGAGGACTTGCAGAACTGAATTAAACTGGCTTCCAATTATAAAAAGGAGAGGCCTAACGCTACTGAAAATCACTCCTTAAGCCCTCTTTGATGATTTTTGGCCTGATTACTTACGCCTTAAATTCCATACTGTCAGTGCCTATAACTTAAGATCTCTTGAAGCACCAAATTTGGCTATTCCAACTGAAAGCGGCAGTTTTCAGGACTCAGCAGTGAGATGCGTTACCTGATAGGTTAAGGCAAGAGCCTGACTATAACAAGTTCGCTAGGTTAGCGAAGAAGCTCGTGTTCTCCGAACGAGAAAGGGTATGACTGATTTTTATTATTTTTAACCACGCTGTTTTTTAATTGTACATATTTTTTGTCAAAGCTTTTGTACTTATCCTTAATTTATGGTATATATCATTTTTAATTTAAAATCGGCTTGATTTTTTGTAATAATATACTGCAGTTAGGGCATTAGTAGGCGAACAGCAACCTCGTGGAAGTACTAGTAATAAAATCGTTATTATTATTATTATTATTATTATTATTAGTAGTAGTAGTAGTAGTAGTAGTAGTAGTAGTAGTAGTAGTAGTCGTAGTCGTAGTCGTAGTGGTCTCGTGGTAGTAGTGGTACTCGTAGTCGTAGTAGAAGTATATACTACTTCTTTTAATTTCTAGTATGTAGTATATGCTACCACTACCAATACCACTTCATTGCAATTTAACATGTTCCGTTAGAATAGGAGAAAACAAAACTCGATCTTTCTCATACTCAAGAGGTGTACGCCCGGGATATATTTAAACCCCCCTTTTATTTAATTTCTATATCAACAATTTGCCATATTTATCTTCAAAGGGCCAAAACCACCCGTTACAGTTTAATATTAGCATAATCATTTGTTCAACAGAAAAACGTGATGGAGGTTCCGAAATATCCCCTGTAGCAATTTTTATCTTGGAAATATTAAATCATAACAGGCTTTGCTGGGTAATTAAACAAATGAAATCATCTTGAAGCTCAGTGATTGATCGGTTTATTCCCCTAAGTATGAATTTTAATATATCGAAGTTGGTCTGTTCTGTTGTTGTTCTGACGTATCCATAAAAATTTCCCCGAGGCAAATTCACCATTGGGGAAATGGGTCACACACAAAAAGCTGCTTGCCCATGGGCAACAGCCATTTTCCCATTGCTAAAACAGCAAGTGTAACCGCAACTATTGTTTACGTAATTTTTGGTTTCTATCACCTCATTTACATTTTCCGTTAATTTTTTGCTGATGGCCTCAAGAAATGTTGTTATTTTCGCAATTTTCATTGGTTTCGTAAACAAAAAACGTGGGTTTCATAATTTCGCTGTTTCGTCGAGAGCCTTCCATTGCCTCATTTGCGTTTCTCTGTTATTTTTCGTCGATGGGCCGGCAAAAATTTATAATTTTCGTTATTTTCGCAGTTTTCGTAACAACTGAGCAAAATGTTGGGATTTTTTCTAAGTTTCGTGGCTCTGTCCCACCCCGGATTTATCTCGTTACTTTGGTCAAAGGGCTGGGCACTTATTCAGAGAAGAGCGCTGATTACACGGTACTATTGGCTACTGATCGCTATTTGGTAGTCTTCGTTGTATATTATTTTTTATTAAAAACTGAATCATTGGATAATGCAATTCTAGCATTTTGATTGGCTTAGCCGTTATGGTATATGAGCTAATATACCATGTTCTCCATATATGGTCGGTGTAAGCGTCAGTTTAAAATTGGAAGCTAGCTGAGATTTTTTTTCGCGAAGGATAGAACGGCGCCCGAAGCAAATCGTTTTAATCCATTTCTTAGAATACTAGAAATGCAATTTCAACGAAAGAAAAAAGACAAAAACAAACAAAAAAGCCACAAGAGCTTGTTTGAAAGTTTGTCGAAAAACACATGAAAACACATGGAACTAAAGTACCTTGACCAGCTACGAAAGAAGACAAGTGTTGTTTCTTCATGATCGCGAAGCCATTCGCCGATCGAGTAACTCGCCGATAGATAACTGCAGCTTGTTTATCCGACATCAAGAATATAAATCACAAGTAACCAGCTACAAATACAGGCTATGCTGCCATTCACTAGAGCAATCGAGGCGGCAGTATAGCTTCTTTTCTCGTTCAGCAAAACCAGCTTGTGGCTTCAAACAACTTCATAACAAGCGACCGAGGTATACCGGTAGTTTTTCTCCGTTGTTGTTACTTTTATAACTGCACCGAAAATCCAAATTCATAGTAATTTCGACGGCTGTCACTTAAAAATTCCTTTCCTTCACATTATCTGCCAGGTTTTTTAAGCTGTTCTGCTGTGTAAAATCCTAGAATCACGATGAGTTTTTAAAAAACTAATGTTCATCGCACAATGTTTTGATTTTTCATTCATGCAGTCTAGGCGAGCCCGGTTCGCGCGTTGACAGTTTTGATAGACGTGTGACATGTCAATAGCGGAAGTCCCTTGTCTTTTCCGGTTTGTTCTAGTCGGGACGATTCAACGAGATTTTGTGGGCGTTTTTAATAAAACAATTATTCCACTCGGGCTTGTTGGATATGAAATGATTATAGCCAACTCGGCGCTATGCGCCTCGTTGGCTATCTATCATCTCATATCCAACGCGCCCTCGTGGAATAATTGTTAAATAATCTTCAAGTGACCCATTTTTTCCTTTAGTAAATCGTTCAAAGGTGTATGGGTACATAGAAAAATATCAGAGCGTTCATAACTGAGTCTGTTTTGTAGTTGTAAACAAGAAACGAAGTTCAGAAATATTTTCATTTTAAATCATCCTAGGACAAGAAGCAAGTCCTGATCCATATGGAGAGAGCTGAGAAGGCCGAGGTAATTTCAATAGGATATATGGTGCAATGTAAACTTGTGCATCTTTACAAAGCAAGAAAATATAAGAAAGACGTCGCTCCAGGGCAGGTCTGGAAATGCCATATTGTTAACGACATTGACATAAATTTAACCCAGCAAACGCTTGTTTATTTTGAGCTGCAAAATCGTAAGGTCATTCCTCTTGTTTAACTTTATATTGGTAGTTTAACTGGAAGGAATTTAACACGTGGGGTCCTCGTACTCTTTAAGGTGAAGCGGCACATTGTGTATAGCTAGTACATGTTTCAAGATGTTTTCGACGGCTGCTTCTTTTTTTGGGACGAGGAATTTTTTCATATTTCTTCTCCAGAAAGAAATGTTTTTGCTTAATTTTATGAGGAAAAATGATGATGAGTCACCATACTCGTTTACGTGAAAAAAATGGCGATTTACATCTTTTGGTGAGATTTGGCCATAGAACAAAAGCCGCCAATTTATTCATCTGCACCCATTTATCACGCGTGAAACGCAAAGCAGTAGTAAAGATTATTTTTCATTGTTCACTTGGAGAGCCCTCTTACCATGAAACGCCCTGGAGGACTTATTCTCAGTACTTAGTCATTACCTACAGTATTCATAGAGGTACAGATAGTTAAGTTGTAGAAATGGAGAGAGACCTTTTGCTGTAATTTATTAGCAGAAAATATCCATTCATTAGTGGGAGTAGCTGGACCAATAGTGTAAGATATAATTAAGATTGCCTTCTGACTAATGGATTGAAAAAAAAATACAGGCGTCGAGAGGCCCTCTACACAAGGCTGCTATCAATGGACAGTTCGAAATAATCAAAGTACTTCTTGAAAGTGGTGAAGATGTGGATAAAAAAGATCAGGTTTGTGTCTTGTACAGTTTAATATGTTAAATTAATTTTGAGTCCTCTTCTCACGAGAAATCCTCGTATAAATGACCTTCGCGCCTTATGAAAGACGTTAACGCATTGTGCCTGTGCGTAATTATAACACGTGTTATGTTGGAATGCCGTTGCCCGGACATGACTCGAACCAAACGCGAACCATTTATACGAGCTCTTCGCGTCCTATGTAAGACATGCCGTGCTAATTCAGAAGCGTCTTATGTAGGACGTGTTTTATTGTTCTTAGTATATGTAAGCGGTCGTGTTTATAGCGCGAAGACGTGTCTTTTCGGGATCTTCCACTTTGAAGCTTTTCATCATCATCATGTCCCAGTTTCTGGAGGCTTTAATTCTCACCATGACTCTGTTAAACCAATTTTCCACTCTCCTCTTCTTGACCGGCTGAAGCGTCATCTTGAATTGGCTTGCTTTAGAAGCGCAGGTTATCTGTCCTTCAAGTTAATTCTTTACCCGAACTCTGATTCTACCTCTTAACTGACGAGATTAACGACTAGTGGCGACATTAGCTTGAATCCTGGCCCAGAAAGATGCTCTGTTTGTGGTAATTCCGTCACTCGAAACCATCGTTCCCATCTTGTGACTTTTGCGAACTTTGGTGCCACATCAAGTGCGGCCTAATCACACCAAGGGAGTTTAAAAGGTTTCAATCACTCGAAAACTTCAACTGAATTTTGCCCGTTGGTCTTGCCTTGTCTTCATCTGTGCCTATTGGCCATAAATCTATCTCCTCTCCTTCGATCTCTGGCCATGGCGTAAACTGTTTTGGTTTATTTTTAACTTAAGTGCACGCTCATCGACATGTCAGAAGATTCAAACCGTCCTCGACCTTGTCCTTACATCGACACTTTCTTTCAGTCAGCTACGTCAGCTATTGGCCAAGTTTTTGTAATTATGAGTGGACAGTGACCTGCAACGTTGCAATTGGGCTCAATTTTAGTGTTACACTTGGTTTGTTTCTTGTAAACTAGCTAACAAGGACATAGTAAAGAGGCTAAAAATTAGTACAACAACATCCCCTCCATTTATTTTATAATAGGCTATCGTTACACTGCACTATTTGGCTTATTTCAACCTCTATTTATGTCTTTCTCTCGTTTATATTACTTTAAACTGAGGTACTGCATTGGCAGAGCCCTGTTTACTGGGCAATGAAGACACAGATGTCATATGGGTGAAAATAGCTATGGGTCGACGTCCTTTCACACTGAAGTAGCGAGGCAGAATGACACAAAACTCCGCGTCCCCGCGTGATCAACAATGGGCTCTATAGGGGGGTACAAAGGATTTCCCCCAACCACTCACCCTCTCCTGAATTGACAATTACTCATTCAAGTGAAAAACTCGTATGAAATAATCGATTAACAATACTTCTCGGGTAAGGACAAAAATTCTATTTGTTAGCAAATATTTCTCATCTAACTGCGTTTTTGTCCTCTTTTCTGTAGTTTTCTTTGACGCCTCTTCATCTTGCCTGTTGGTATGGACAGGAATCTGCGGTCAAACTATTTTTAGAACACGGTGCGAACGTGAACGTTAAGGACAGGGTGAGTCATAGACAACCAAATTGACTAATTAGATGTCATATCAGTGCATCAGGTTGATACTCTAAACCGAAAGGGACATCCATGTGTTGACGCCGAAATTGACGAAGCTTATCATGGGAGTGTAAACTATGGAACATGACAGAGTGCCATGTAATTGGTCAAATAAACAACGAATAGTTCATAGGGTTCAGTTCACGTGAGGTTGCACTTGAAAATAACTGGCCAAAGACAAAGCTCAACGAAGAGTTGTTGATTAACTAAAATTTATTTCCGGTGATCAATAAATTATGATCTCTTAGAACATGTTTTGATTTGAACGTTTCATTGAACTGGTTTTTGCTCTAATCCCACCTGCGAAATCAGCCTCTAACTCTTACCTATATAACCCTCAGAGGCTTGTTAAGTTTCCTCCTCTCTTCCTGTATTTCATTTGAGTGCTTTTTCCACCGCATTTTTACACGTTAAATGAATGAGCTACATTGCAGTCGTTTATGGATGTTGCTGGAATTGTAGCATGCCTCTAATAGAATAGGAATTGTTCCCTCACTGGAGGGGAACTGCTCTTTTTTCTTTGCTGTTTTGGATTACCAGTAACCTTTCCTGCGAGATCGATAGTTAGAGCCCATGGGAGGAGATGTCTTTTTGTTTTTGTTTTTTGGTTTTCTCAAACAAAAACAAAAAAACAGCAACAGGAAAAGATTTTGATCCGGCAGGCTACCCAAATCGTTTTAACTCTTTTCCTTTTTAAGGATTTTTTTTTTTAAAAGGTTAACATTAGATTTTGTTAAAGAACAATTGAATGAGACCATGCTTCAACACTTATGTCCAGGATGGAATGCACATGCAAAATGCACAGAATTTTTGGTTTGTTTTGTTTTGTTTTGTTTTGTTCTTAATGGCTTTGATGTGTAATTTTTTTTTGTTAACAGCACGTTGCCTTACGTAGTGTAGACAAAGCGGAGATTTGCAGTTATGAAGAATTACCGTTGTTAAAATGTTCCAATGATAAATATTCAAAAGTGGGTAACACAATTAACTCTACTTCGATATAATGTTTTTAGTTTCAGCGTACTCCTCTGCAAAAAGCCGAACGTCAAAACCACCATTCCATAGTCCAGTTGCTATTGAAGAATGATGCCAGGCCATGTCCTCATCAACCAGTAAGTTAATTGTGCCCGAAAAACTGTCTCACATTTCTGCTTTAACTTATGAGGTCATAGACTTGTAACGATAACAACCGACCACCACTTCATTTTGTGTAGAACACGTCTATCTACAATATGAATACAGGGCAACCCATATAAACTATTATATGCAAATATCTACTTACTTGTAGTATCAAATGGATTCCCTCTTTATCACTTCCTCTTATAAACTTGGTCATTTTTTAACAGGTCAGTCTAAAAAAACTCTCAAGGAAAGCTTTCACACAAATGGATAAAAAGGCTGGATTTAATCTACTCCAGGCGGCTGTCTTAGAGGATGAATATGACATTGTTTTAAAAGCTCATGGACTTCCAAGTTATAAAAGTATCAAAAGACTTTATAATGAGTGTGCTAAGGACAACAGTAGACAGCAGCTGCAGTGGGCTACATTTAATGATGATGCGGAACAAGCTGTTGAGCTTGTATTAAATGACGGTGCAGCTATTAATGCCCGAGCGTCAGATAATGATTACACAGTTTTGTTGCAGGCGAGTCGATCATCCTCAAGTCAGTTCATTGAGACCCTCATTGATCTTGGAGCCGACGTTGATATCCAAAGAAAAAAGAGTAAAGAAGCACCATTAAAATTAGCAGCTGTTTGGAACAACTATATGGCAGTGTGCTTGCTTGTAAGGCACGGAGCTTATGTAGATGTTCAGGATAGTTATGGATTCACACCACTACACATTTCAGTCAGAAACGGTCGCGAAAATCTTATCAGATTACTACTTGCAAATAAAGTAGACGTAAATATTCAAGATGACGATGGATATTTACCCTTGCACTGGTGTGCCTTTGAGGGTAACGAAAACCTCTGTAGATTGTTACTTGAACACAACGCGGATGTAAATATTCAAGATAATCGTGGATGTACACTCTTGCACTGGTCTGCCAGAGAGGGTAATGAAAGCCTCTGTAGATTGTTACTTGAACACAACGCGGATGTAAATATTCAAGAAAAACACGGATTTACACCCTTGCACTGGTGTGCCTTTAAGGGTAACGAAAACATCTGTAGATTGTTACTTGAACACAACGTGGATGTAAATATTCAAGATAAAGGTGGATGCACGCCCTTACACTGGTGTGCCTTTAAGGGTTACGAAAACATCTGTAGATTGTTGTTTGAACACAACGCAGATGTAAATATTCAAGAAAAGCACGGATTTACACCCTTGCACTGGTGTGCCTTTAAGGGTTACGAAAACATCTGTAGATTGTTACTTGAACACAACGTGGATGTAAATATTCAAGATAAAGATGGATGTACACCCTTGCACTGTTGTGTCAGAGAGGGTAACGAAAACATCTGTAGATTGTTACTTGATCACAACACGGATATAAATATTCAAGATAAAGATGGATGTACACCTTTGCACTGGTGTGCCATAGGGGGTAACGAAAACCTCTGTAGATTGTTACTTGAACACAACGCAGATGTAAATATTCAAGATAAATATGGCTCTACCCCGCTGCACCTGTCAGCTCGTAGAAACAGGGATTGCAGTGAGATAATCGATCTCCTGGTGAAGTATGGGGTGCAAAACTTAAGCATCCGTGATGCAAAAGGCAGGACTCCTCTTCAAATGGCAGTGAGACTTTGGAACGCACAAGCTGTGAAAACGCTTGTTGACCTAGGAGCTGATACTAGTGTGGTTAAAGCCGATGAAAAGGGTGCCATCATACTGGAACGCTTAAAGAATGAAGCGGAGAGGTACTAGATGGAGCAATATCGTACGTTTGAAATCGGCTCTGCGCAAAAAGCTAACGAGACGGGAAAATGCACCAGGGGTCTCTTTTGTTCCAGTTAAAGGAAAACTCACGAAGTCTCATCTCAAATCAAAGAAAACACTGAGGCAATCCTCTTCGTCTACAACAAAGGAAATAGAGGACGAACCGGAAGCTCCACCAGGCGACTACATCTTCACTATATATGTTTAATTAGGGCTTAATTTAGCCTTTTTAGCTTTCAGAGTTGTTTTTGAATAAGGCCCAGCTGTCTGTTTCTAGCCTGAATTTCAGACGATTACTTCGAGTCGTTTTTACTCAAACAATAACGTCGTTGCTGAGAAGAGAAAACGACTCGAGGTAATCGTCTGAAATTCAGGCTAATCTCTTTCATCAGAAGATTTCAAGAGAAGATTGTGCTCTTATAAAGCTAACGTTAAACTAGTTTGTCTAAAATTGATGACAAAAATAGCGAGAGTAACTATAATCCTCACCTATTTTAACTTCATTTTATGCTTACAACATTCGCCCGCACACACCCGCTACTCCTTCACTCACTGATTCTATCAGTGGAGGGGAACCAATGTATTCCCAACACCTGGCAAGCCACTAGCGAAACCACTGATTTATTTTTTAGAACGCCATTGTGTTGGCCTGCTTCGAAGAGATATCCTTTCCTTTTTTTTATTCGTACTTTTTCGTAGTGTGAGGCGTTTTTGTTTGAAAAAGGCGTAACGTCTCCAGGCAATAACACGAGCAATCATTGTTTAAAATTAAGAAGATTTAATTTTCCTCTCTTGGTAAAAGTAATAAATAATAACGTATTTATTCAACATTTATCATTTATTCAACCGAAAAACGTCATGGAGGTTCCGGAATACCCCCTGTAGCAATTTTTATCTTGGAAATATTAAATCACAACAGGCTGCACTCGGAGGCTTTGCTGGGGAATTAAACAAGTGATATCATCTTGAAGCTCAGTAATGAAGAATACGTTTCTTTTGGTTTATTCCCCTAAGTCTCTTAGCTAAGTATGAATTTTAATATCGAAGTTAGTCTGTTCTGTTTTTGTTCTGACCTATCCATAAAAATTTCCCCGAGGCAAATTCACCTTGGGGAAATCGGTCACACACAAAAAAGCTGCTTCCCCATGGGCAACAGCCATTTGCCCATTGATAAAACGTTTAGTGTAACCGCAACTATTGTTTACGTGATTTTTGGTTTCTATCGCCTCATTTGCATTTTCCGTTAATTTTTCGTTGATGGCCTTAAGAAATGTGGTTATTTTCGTCATTTTCGCAACTTTCGTTGGTTTTGTAAACGAGAAACGTTGGTTTTATAATTTTCGCCTTTTCGTGGAGAGCCTTCCAGTACCTTATTTGCACTTCTCCGTTATTTTTCGTTGATGGCCCGGCAAAAATTTGTAATTTTCGTTATTTTCGCGGTTTTCGTAACAACTGAGCAAAATTTTGGGATTTTTTCTAAGTTTCGTGGCTGAGTCCCACCCCGGATTTATCTCGCTACTTTGGCCTAGGGGGTGGGCGCTTATTCGGGGAAGAGCGGTGATTACAGGGCGCTATTAGCTATTGATCACTATTTGGTAGTCTTCGTTGTATTTTTTATAATCTTCAAGTGACCCATTTTTTTTTCATTAGTAAATCGTTCGAAGGTGTATGGGTACATAGAAAAATGTCAGAGCATTCATAAGTGAGTCTATTGCGTAGTTGTAAACAAGAAACGTAGTTCAGAAATATTTTCATTTTTAATCATCCTAGAACAAGAAGCAAGTCCTGATCGATATGGAGAGAGCTGAGAAGGCAAAGGTAACTTCAATAGGATATATGGTGCAATGTAAACTTGTGCATTTTTACAAAGCAAGAAAATATAAGAAAGACTTCGCTCCAGGGCAGGTCTGGAAATGCCATATTGTTAACGACTTTTACATAAATTTAGCTCAGTAGACGCTTGTTTATTTTGAGCTGCAAAATCGTAAGGTCATTCCTCTTGTTTAACTTTAAATTGGTAGTTTAACTGAAAGGAATTTAACACGTGGGGTCCCCTTACTCTTTTAGGTGAAGCGGCACATTGTGTATAGCTAGTGCATGTTTTAACGTGTTTCCGACAGCTGCTTCTTTTTTGGGACGAGGAATTGTTTCATATTTCTTTTCCAGAGAGAAATGTTTTTGCTTATTTTTATGAGGATAAACGATGAGTCACCTTACTCGTTTTCGTGAAAAAAATGGCGATTTACATCTTTCGGTGAGATTTGGCCATAGAACAAAATCCGCCAATTTTTTCATCTGCACCCATTCATCACGCGTGAGACGCAAAGCAATAGTAAAGAATATTTTTCATTGTTCACTTGGAGAGCCCTCTTACCATGGAACGCCCTGGAGGACTTATTCCAGGAATCAGTCATTATCTACATTATTCATAGAGATACAGATAGTAAAGTTGTAGAAATGGAGAGAGACCTTTTGCTGTAATTTATTAGCAGAACATATCCATTCATTAGTGGGAGTAGCTGGACCAATAGTGTAAGGTATAATTAAGATTGCCCTCTGACTAATGGATTGAAAAAAAAATACAGGCGTCGAGAGGCCTTCTACACAAGGCTGCTATCAATGGACAGTTAGAAACAATCAAAGCACTTCTTGAAAGTGGTGAAGATGTGGATAAAAAAGATCAGGTTTGAATCTTGTACAGTTTAATATGTTAATTTGATTTTAAGCCCGTTTCTCATGAGAAATCCTCGTCTAAATGACCTTCGCACCTTATGAAAGACGTTAACGCATTGTGCGTATGCGTTATTATAACACGTGTTATGTTGGAATGCCGTTGCCCGGACATGACTCGAACAAAACGCGAACCATTTATACGAGCTCTTCGCGTCCTATGTAAGACATGCCGTCCTAATTCAGAAGCGTCTTATGTAGGGCGTGTTTTATTGTTCTTAGTATATGTCAGCGGTCGTGTTTACAGCGCGAAGACGTGTCTTTTCGGGCTCTTCCACTTTGAAGCTTTTATTCGTCATCATCATGTCCCAGTTTCTGGAGGCTTTAATTCTCACCATGACTCTGTTAAACCACTTTTCCACTCTCCTCTTCTTGACCGGCGGAAGCGTCATCTTGAATTGGCTCGTTCTAGAAGTGCAAGTTATCTGTCGTTCAAGTTAATTCTTTACCCGAACTCTGATTCTACCTCTCAACTGACAAGATTAACTACTCGTGGCGACATTAGCTTGAATCCTGGCCCGGAAAGATACTCTGATTGTGGAAATTCCGTCGCTTGAAACCATCGTTCCCCATCCTGCGACTCCTGTGAACTTTGGTACCACATCAAGTGCGGCCTAATCACACAAAGGGAGTTTAAAAGGTTTCAATCACTCCAAAAAATTCAGCTGAATTTTCTCCGTTTGTCTTGCCTTGTCTTCTTCTGTGCCTATTGGCCAGAAATCTATCTCCTCTCCTTCGATCTCTGGCCATGGCCTAATTAGGCTTTGGTTTATTGTTAACTTAAGTGCACACTCATCGACATGTCCGAAGATTCAAAACGTCCTCGACCTTGTCCTTACATCAACACCTGTTTTCGTCAGCTACGGTCTTATCCACTCCAATAATTTAGATGTCACTTTTATCAAGTAGGAAAGCTCTGAGATCCAAACAACCTACGACAATGAGATTCTTAAGGCACTAACTAGCGACTGCAAGATGCTTATTTGCTCTAAATATAACCGATATTTGTCATATCCCTCCTGTGAAATTTCTCAGACTCGGGACACAGAAAGTATGCTTTGTCTGGATTAACTGATGTCCGCCTATTTGAGGACATATATGAGCTTTTCATTGGGACAAACGAAACTGTCCGTTATGTACGAGTGTCCGTATTAAGCGGGTGTCCTTTGGGCGGGGCTTCACTGTACTTGCCCGCCAAGGAATTATGAAGGAAGGCCAAGCGAAGAATGGAAATGATAGAAATTTATTTTTCTTTGTTGTTGTTGTTTGCTTTTTTCTACGATAGCATCCTGAAAATGTTCTGAACGATGTTTCCCTGATATAAACTGACTATCAGCATTCTGAATGAAAAAATGTTGGCCAAGTTCTTGTAATTCTTAATGGACGGTGACCTACAACGTTGCAATTGGGCTCAATTTTAGTGTTACACTTGGTTTCTTCCTTGTAAACTAGCTAACAAGGACATAGTAAAGAGGCTACAAATTAGTACAACAACACGCCCTCCATTTATTTTATAATAGGCCATCGTTACACTGCACTATGTAGTTTATTTCAACCTCCATTTATGTCTTTCTCTCGTTTATATTACGTTAAACTGAGGTACTGCATTGGCTGAGCTCTGTTTACTGGGCAATGAAGACACACATGCCATATGGGTGAAACTAGCTATAGGTCGACGTCCTTTCACACTGAAGTAGCGAGGCAGAATGACACATAACTGCGCGTCCCCGCGTGATCAACAATGCGCCCTATAGGGGGGGTACAAAGGATTTGCCCCAACCACTCACCCTGTCCTGAATTGATAATTACTCATTCAAGTGAAAAACCCACATTAAATAATCGATTAACAACACTTCTCGGGTAAGGACATAAAAATTCTATTTGTTAACAAATATTTCTTGGAAAAACTACGTTTTTTGTCCTCTTTTCTGTAGTTTTCTTTGACACCTCTTCATCTTGCCTGTTGGTATGGACAGGAATCTGTGGTCAAACTGTTTTTAGAACACGGTGCGAACGTCAACGCTAAGGACAGGGTGAGTCAGTGAACTTTCTTCAATTGAATAATATAGTGCAATGAAGGGGTTGGGGTAAGGGAGGTTGTTGTTTGTCCAGTATTACTGATTCACACAGGAATCTCTTTATGTTGGCCAATTATTAAAATTTACCCTAGCAACAGTATTGATACAACTGCCTGTTTTACTATGGTACATAGCACATTTGTGTTATTCCAATGGTAATTTGTTAGTGAAGGTTTTATGTGCTAATACACAAGTTTTTATTTGTTATTTACCGGAAAAAATGGGTGGTAGAAATCTTTGATTTAAAAACAGTATCAGGGAAGAACAAAATTAAACCGTAAGTTGAGAGCAAAACTTTCGAATTTTTTTCTTCATTTTTTGCGTTTTTAATACCTTCACATCTTACAAATATTTTACTTATTACGAACTTTACGAACTTTTTAGAGTCCAGTTTCCCTTAATCTGTTTCCTCGTGTTCGGGATCAGACCCAAAATTATTATCCTAAGCAGCAACAAAAACAACAACTTGGTGTGGCTGAAAAGGGGAAAGTTTGTCACAAAGTTCTCAACTAAATCTTAAAAGGTCGGCCCCATTTACTCCTGGATTTTTGTAAGCTAAAAAGAACTCACCACCAGGGTGGTACACATACCGGTATGGAGGAGGGAGTTTGGCCTATTCCAGGGCCGACTGTGACCGTTCTTGGGTAAATATGGAAGGTGCACAGACCGCAATAGGGGATGGAGTTGGGCCTCCCCTTAACGTCGGCTGTGACCAATCGTGGGCCTCTCTAGGGCCCCCACCATAAAACATATATGTATATTCCAGGGGTACAAAATGTCGAGGGGTACAAAAGTGTGATGAGAGGAGCACTTTATCCCAATTCCCACCTTTTTTGAAAAACACAACTGTCTTCAGAGTAGAAGTACAAGATAGAGACAACCAAATTGACTAATTAGATGTCATATCAGTGCATCAGGTTAAAACTCTAAACCGAAAGGGACATCCACGTGTTGACGCAGAAATTGATTACTATAGTGGGTGGGATGGAAGGGAAAAGAAAACAGAGTGACGAAGAATATCATGGGAGTGTAAACTAAGGAACATGGCAGAGTGCCCTGTAATTGGTCAAATAAACAACGAATAGTTCATGGGGTTCAGTTCACGTGAGGTTGCACGTGAAAATAACTGGACAAAGGACAAAGCTAAACGAAGAGTTGTTAAATAACTAAAATTTATTTGCAGTGATCAGTAAATTATGATCTCTCAGAACACGTTTTGATTTGAACGTTTCATTGCACTAGAATTTGCTCTAATCCCAACTGCGAAATCGGCCTCTAACTCTTACCTATATCACCCTTAGAGGCTTGTTATGTTTCCTTCTCTCTTCCTGTATTCCATTTGAGTGCTTTTTCCACCGCATTTTTACACATTAAATGAATCAGCTACATTGCAGTCGTTTATGGATGTTGCTGGAATTATAGCATGCCTGTAACAGAATAGGAATTGTTCTCTCACTGGAGGGGAACTGCTCTTTTTTTCTTTGCTGTTTTGGATTACCAATAACCTTTCCTGGAGACTGGGGCGACCATGTGCGAGTGAAGACGTTGAAACGATTGTCCCAAGCTCTGTGGCAGCGTCTTATAGGTAATAATTACCTCGCCGCCTTTTTTCGCTCTTTCTTAAAACTTCGTTGTGTAATGTATTCTTTGTTTGTTTGTTTTTCTTTGTTTTATTTGTCCTTTTGTTATTTCCTTTGTTGTTTTTTGTTTTGTGAGTATTTGTGCGTTTTGTGTGTATTGTCTACCTACGTGCTGTGTGTTTTTGCACCTCAGTTGCCACCTCTTTTCAATTTTTTGTACCACTGCGGTGAAAATTATTTGTATGCGCATAATTTATTTTTTCTTCCTGATCCCATTCATGAAAAGAACTTTTTGATTTTAAATTACTTTCTCTTAATGTGCGAGGGGTTCGAGCCGCCACGAAAAAAAAGGAAAGCCCTTTTTACCTGGCTAAATGAACGGAGGTATGATATTATCTTCCTTCAAGAGACCTATAGCACTGTTGACGTTGAAGACATTTGGAGAACACAGTGGAGAGGTAAGCTCTTTTTTTGCACGGCTCTAATCATAGTTGTGGAGTGATGATTCTAGTGAGAAGTGACTTAGATTTTAATCCAAGAACTATTAGTTGTGATGACGAGGGCCGCTCCATTACAATTGAAGCTGAGGTCCAAGGTTCGCCATTTTTGTTTGTAAATATTTATGCTCCAAACAAGGTTCAAGACCAATGCCGTTTTTTTGATAAGTTAAACAAAAATATTGAAGACCGCGTCGTTAATGAAGAGCTTAGAATTATTCTCGGGGGAGACTTTAATGTAACACTCGACTCTGATCTTGACTGTTCCGGTGGTAGACCTTTCAGAAAAGATTCTGTGAAACACATACAAGACTTATGCCTGGATTTTGATTTGGTTGACATTTGGCGCATACGAAATCCGGACTCTAAACGCTTTACGTGGCGTCAAAGAAATCCTTTCATTCAAAGAAGACTTGATTATTGGCTGATTAGCGATGTATGCCAAGACGACATTGAGAAGTCCGATATCATTCCTTCGATAAATTCAGACCATTCGGCAATTTTTCTCCATCTTAATAGCATAGACAAACCAAAACACGGCCCCTCTTTCTGGAAGTTTAATGCTAGTCTTGTAAATGACGACGACTTTGTTGCACTGATAAATGAAAGTATGCCTTTGTGGTTAGAGGAGTTCAAAGACGTTATAGATAAAAGGCTGTTGTGGGATTTAATTAAGTACAGGATTAGACAAATTACAATAAAGTATAGCAAAGAAAAAAAAGCACGTGAAAGGAGAAGAAAGATCTCTGATATTGAGGCTTCTTTGAAGATTTCGGAAGAGAGATGCGGTAGTTCACCAACTCCTGAGAACCAGGAAGAGTTTGAATTGTTAAAAATGGAATATGATTCTATCTATGAGCAGATAGCAAAAGGTGCTATAATCCGATCGAAAGCCACTTGGTATGAAAAAAAGGAGAAAAAAGCAATAAGTTCTTTTTAAACCTTGAAACACATAAGAAAGCTAAGAGTTCTGTCCGTAAGGTTTTGACGATAATGGAGTTCTAATCACGGATCCTAAAAAAATATTGCAAGAAATTCAAAATTTTTATTCTAATCTTTGTGAGCGTGACCCTCTTAGCCCATCTGAACACACGTTAAACTCTTTTTTAAACAATCCTGAAATGCCAAAACTCTCTGATACTGATGTTCAAATTTGCGAGGGAAAATTAACGGTTGAAGAGTGTTACAAAAGTCTTCAGCTGTTTGAAAGTAACAAGTCACCAGGCAATGACGGACTAACAGTCGAATTTTACAGGGCTTTTTGGGGCCTCTTAGGACAGCTATTAGTAGACAGCTTAAACTACTCTTATGATCATGGTGAGCTCTCAAACTCTCAGAAAGAAGCCATTATTACCCTAATAGAAAAGAAGGACAAAGACAAAAGGGACTTATCAAACTGGAGACCGATTTCGCTTATTAATGTTGATGTTAAAATCGGTTCAAAAGCCATTGCCAAGAGATTGGAGAATGTTTTACCAAACATCATACATTTCAATCAATCTGCATATGTAAAGGGTAGAACCATTTTCGACGCGGTCAGAACCATAGAGGACGTTATGGAATTCTCAAAGAGATACAGTATTAATGGAAGAATGGTTTGTATAGATTTTAAAAAAGCTTTTGACACAGTTAGTAGGGACTTCTTATTTCGAACGTTATCCGTCTTTGGTTTTGGACCATCTTTTATTCAATGGATCCACACTTTTTACAAGAATGTCTCGAGTTGTGTCTTGAATAATGGCTTTGCAACTTCATCCTTTGCAGTTGAAAGAGGAGTAAGACAGGGAGATCCTCTCTCTGCTTACTTATTTATTATAGCATTAGAAGTTTTATGTGTTAACATACGTAACAGTAATGACATTCGTGGTATTAAAGTCGATAAAGAAGAGATCAAATTAAGTCTTTTCGCAGATGACCTGACTGGTTTTTTTAAAGGATGACCTCTCTCTAACAAACTTTCTTAAACTTATAGAAGATTATGGAACTTGCTCTGGCCTAAAGGTTAACCACGAAAAGACAGAGCTTTTGTTACTGGGTAACCTGGCCTGTACTGTACAAGAAGCCACTCTGAACAACATAAAAATTAAACGATCAGCTAAAATCTTAGGAGTACATTTTACCTATGACATTCAAGCAAAACAAAAGCTAAACATCAATGAATTAATCAGCTCCATCCAACTTAAGCTACGAATCTGGAGGTGGAGGGATTTGACTATCATAGGGAGAATTCAAATTGTCAAAACCTTTATTATCCCTATCTTCTTATATCGCACGAGCTTGATATCATTGGATAAAGAATTTGTGAAAGAAGCGAACAAAATTATCTTTGATTTTATATGGAAAGGAAAGGATAAAATTAAACGCTCTGCACTTATCAGTGATATCGAAGATGGAGGACTTAAAGCCCCACACTTAAACTCCATAATTGAAACACAAAGAATACTTTGCTGCAAGAAATTGGCAAATGATCAACCGAGTGGATGGAAAATAATCCTTTTGCATTATCTGAAACCTGTTGGTGGTAAATTAGTCTTATGTTGCGACTTTGATTTGAAGAAATTGACTATCAAATTACCAGCCTTTTATGAAGATTGCTTAAAATCTTTTGCAAAGTGCTCTGCGGTAAATAATTTAAATATACAGGATTTAAATGGAAAAGACTTATCAAAAGTTATCTTATGGAACAACAAATTTATTTGTGTTGGTGACAAGTCTGTGTATTTTCGAAATCTCGCTGAGAAAGGGATCTTTCGAGTGGGTGATTTAATCTCGAATAAACATGAACTTATAATCAAAAGCGAGTTGAGAGTCTTGAACCTTTCGCCGCTGGATGCTTTTAGGCTTGTCTCTTTAATAGACGCTCTACCAACTCAATGGCGTGAATCGTTGAAATCCTGCATCTATACAGGTGACACACCATTCGATTTGCGTGATGAGATTAAGTTACGCTTAAGTGGTCAAATTGTTTTACTTGAAAAAGCGTATTCGAAAATTGTCTATAAAGAACTTCGAAACAGAATCGTCACTCCACCAACTGCTAAACTAAAGTTTGATGTTAATTTTGTCAATGATACTTTGAACTGGAAAAAGATCTATAGCTTGCCATATCGTGTTGCCTTAGATACAAAGACTCGCGAATTTCAGTATAAATTATTAAACAGATGCCTTGTGACAAATACCTTCTTATGCAAAATTGGTATTATACCATCTCCAGCGTGCTCCTTGTGTGGTGAATCGGACGAATCCCTCGAACATCTCTTCCTGTCTTGTCATTATACTGAGAATTTCTGGTCTGAGGTTATAAAATGGCTTGTTGATCATAAGGTCAAGATTGAAAATCTTTCAGACAAAGATATACTGTTTGGTATTATTGGATGTGACTCGGATGAGATATTTGTGAATCGTATTTTATTACTGGCAAAACAATATCTATACTCTTGTAGACAGAACAAATATCCTCCCTCCATCAGAGTTCTTCATTCCAAAATTAATACTGTCTTCTTAATAGAGACAATGATCGCTGAGTCAAACAATAAGTTGGAGACCCACAATATGAAATGGGGCAAATATAAAACTGATTAGCATACGATCTCTTCTCCGCTTACTTTATTTATTATTAATCTTTATTATTTATTTATTTTATTTTACTTTTTTTTTTCATGTAAATAGAAAAGAAGGTACTGGGTTTTTGTTTCGTTTGTTTTCTTTTTTGTAAGTATGTAATTGTGTGTTAGTCTGCGATGTATAATGTTTAGTTTTCCTTTCCGTTTTTTGTATCTTTTCTTTACGTGTTCCGTGTTCATAAGTCAGAATGTAAAAAAAATGTAAAACATTTTAAAACAAAAAATTCATTAAAATACAAAAAAAAAAAATAATAATAACCTTTCCTGCGAGATCGATACGTAGAGCCCATGGGAGGAGATGCCTTTTTGTTTTTGTTTTTTTGGTTTTCTCAAACAAAACAAAAAACAGCAACAGGAAAAGATTTTGATCCCGCAATCTACCCAAATCGCTTTAAATCTTTTCCTTTTTAAGGATTTTTTTCTCTTTTGAGGTTAACATTAGATTTTGTTAAAGAACAATTGATTGAGACCATGCTTCAACACTTATGTCCAGGATGGAATGCACATGCAAAATGCACAGAATTTTTTGTTTTGTTTTGTTCTTAATAGCTCTGCTGTGTAATTTTTGTTGTTAACAGTACGTTGCGTTACGTTGTGTAGACAAAGCGGAGATATACAGTTATGTAGAATTACCGTTTTTAAAATGTTTCTATGATAAATAGTCAAAACTCTGCTTCGATATAATGTTTTTAGTTTCAGCGTACTCCTCTGCAAAAAGCCGAACGTCAAAACCACCATTCCATAGTGCAGTTGCTTCTGAAGAATGATGCCAGGCCGTGTCCTCATCAACCAGTAAGTTATGGCAGATTGTGCCCGAAAAACTGTCTCACATTTCTGCGTCAACTTATGAGGTCATAGACTTGTAACGACAACAACCGCTACCACCACTTCATTTTGTGTAGAACACGTGTATCTGCAATATGAATACAGGGCAACCCGTGCAAAAATCTACTTACATGTAGTATAAAATGGATTTCCTCTTTATCACTTTCTCTTATAAACTTGGTAATTTTTTAACAGGTCAGTCTAAAAAAACTCTCAAGGAAAGCTTTCACGCAATTGGATAAAAAGGCTGGATTTAATGTACTCCAGGTGGCTGTCTTAGAGGAAGAATATGACATTGTTTTAAAAGCTCAAGGACTTTCAAGTTATAAAAGTATCAAAAGACTTTATAATGAGTGTGCTAAGGACAACAGTAGACAGACTAAGCTGCAGTGGGCTACATGTAATGATGATGCGGAACAAGCTGTTGAGCTTCTATTAAATGACGGTGTAGATATTAATGCCCGAGCGTCAGATAATGATTACACAGTTTTGATGCAGGCGAGTCGTTCATCCTCCAGTCAGTTCATTGAGACCCTCATTGATCTTGGGGCTGACATAAATATCCAAAGAAAAAAGAGTAAAGAAACACCATTAAAATTAGCAACTGTTTGGAACAACTATATGGCAGTGTGCTTGCTAGTAAGGCACGGAGCTTATGTAGATGTTCAGGACAGTTATGGATTCACACCACTACACATTTCAGTCGGAAGAGGTCGCGAAAATCTTATCAAATTACTACTTGCAAATAAAGTAGATGTAAATATTCAAGATGAAGATGGATATACACCCTTGCACTGCTGTGCCAGATGGGGTAACGAAAACATCTGTAGATCGTTACTTGAACACAGCGCGGATGTAAATACTCAAGCTAAAGATGGATTCACACCCTTGCACTTGGAGCTGATTTTAGTGGCGTTACAGCGGATGAAGAGGATGCCAGAAGACTGGAAATCTTGAAGAATAAAGCGGAGAGGGAAAAGCAACATCTTAAGTTTGAAATGAGCTTTAGGCAAAAAACTAACGAAACAGAAAATGAACGTGGTGTCAGTTCTGTTCCAAGTACAGGAAATTAAGCTCACAGAGTCTCATCTCAAATCAAAGAAAACACTGAGACAATGTTCTTCGTATACAACAAAGGAAATAGAGGACGAACCGGAAGCTCCACAACCGTGGACAGTGACAAGAGGGAACCCCAAGTAAAAGGCGACTTCATCTTCAAGAACCAATAAATGTTTAATGTCTAATTTAGCCTTTTTGCTTTCAAAGTGAAAAAGGGCCAGTTTTTTCTAGCCTGAATTTCAGACGTAACTTCGAGTCGATTTTACTCCCTCAGTAACGTCGTTGTTGAGAGGAGAATACGCTAAGCTGTTTCATCAGTTAAAGAGAAGATTGTGCTCTTATTAAGCTAACGTTAACCTAGTTTGTACAAAATTGATGACAAACATAGCGAGATTATCTATAATCCTCACTACTATCATTTGATACTTACAACATTCTCCCGCACACGCCCGCTACTCTTTTACCTACTTTTTCTATCAGTGGATGGGGAACTCATGTATTCCCAAAACCCGGAAAGCCACAAAGATTCATATTATGGCGCGCCGTTTGTTTCAAAATTGATTTTTTTAAATTGGTTATAAATTTTTAATATTTTTCTGTTCTGAATCATGTATATAAGCGCTTAAAATCAGAAAGAAGGACTCCTTGATCTTTCCATTTTTGCTTTTTCGTCGTCATTATTAAGAACACTCACTTAAAGGTTTACTGTGAACTCCAATCAATCAGTTTTGCGGATCGGATTTACCGACCAGTTATCGATCAATTAAAATATTATTATATTGTGCTAATTTTCTACCAGATACGTAAAATCGATCATCTAGCATATCATCAATCGGTAATCTGTCGTCTAAATCGATCATATATCCGTAATCAACCATGGAAAGCTGTCTCAAATTTCGATCAGTTTTGCTGATAATCGATCAGTTTATTATCGATCAGTTGTCGGGTACTATACTATTGATCAGCATAAACTCGGCTTGCACAATCTACCAGTTATGCGTATTTTCATTCAGTTGTGACTAAAATCGATCAGTTGTTGTATGAGCGATCAGTTGAGCATATTTTCACTCAGTTGTGACTAAAATCGATCAGTTGTGCGTATTTTCATTGAGTTGTGACTAAAATCGATCAGTTGTTATATGAGCGATCAGTAGTGCGTATTTTCATTCAGTTGTGACTAAAATCGATCAATTGTTATATGATCGATCGGTTGTGCGTATTTTCATTCAGTTGTGACTAAAATCGATTAGTTGTTACATGATCGATCATTTGTTCGTATTTTTATATAGCCGGGGTCGATTATTCAATGGGTTGAGATATTGCCATGAAAACTTTCTGCAATATTTTCACCCATTTACTAGATGCGTGATGGTTTTAAAAAATGTCAGCGTCATGTGTGATAGATACCCCCCTTTTGCCACCCTGATCAATCGCATTCCGTTATTTCCACCCCGAATGAAACTAGGAAAAAAACCGACACAGATACAAGCGGCATTTTCGATAAATATAGCTGGGGCAGCAAAAGCGCATTACTTCTATCACGAATTCTTTTTTTAGAACCGAAAAACAAGAAACTTACTTCTCAGCTCTGCATATACACGTGGTCATAGACGTGACAATCTGGTCAGTTACCAGAGTGTGACAACTAAGACCTAAGACCCGTCTTACTTTTCAGATTACGAAAACTAAGACCCCCTTAAATCAAATCCGTCGAAATATGAAGTCAAATTGTAATCGAAATAGGTCTAATCTGTCAAAATATCTTCTGTTCGATTCTTTCCACCGAGTTTTAGGTCGAATTTAACCGTAAATATAGGGGACTTAGTTTTAGTAATTTCGAAAACAAAGACCCCTCTTAGTTTTCGCAGGAGCCGAGTAATCGGCTCCTGGTTTTCGTTATTACGAAAACTAAGACCCCCTTAAAAACCAATCCGTAATATATATATGAGTCGAATTACGACCGTTCAAAGTCTATAAGCCGTAAAACAACCAAAAACTATCATCCGCGTGCTGACGATCCGCGTCTTCTAAAACTCTGCAGACATGTCAGTACAGTACAGTATTTGCAAACATGTCAGTACAGACATGTCAGACATTTCAGTAGAGGGGAAACTGTGCTTCGTCTGAACACAGTTTTGCGGGCAGTCAGCGGTAATTCGCGTGAGGGCGCGAGTTTTAAATTAGACAAACAAACATGGCGGCGAAAAAAGCAATGGTACACAGAAGACGATTTCTCAAAATCTACTCATTAAAATTTTGTGATATTTGGCAGAATTTTGACTTTTATCGTATTTTAAATAATGAGAACTTTAAAATGGAAGTTGAACGAAAGAATTTTGTGAGACATTTAATAATTACAATACAATTATATCATTGATTATCTGAAAACTCGTCTGTTAAAATTTGGTCAAATAAAATTCAAATGGTAATGATTGATTGTAGTAAGCTGTGCCCAAGTTTATAGGAAAATCTAATGAGCGAATTTGATGTAAACTGAGCAAAAGTGAAATTTTAAGGTTGTATTCAATCGTTCATGTTGCCATGGAAACAACGAAAACGTCACATTTTACCTGTCGATCAAATCTTTAATCAGTATATTTTTCACTTGCCAACTTTCAGCTTGTGAGCTGCAACCTTTCTCTTGCCATGATTTGACAAATGACATATACTCACAAACTGCCAAAACTGTGTTCATCCACCTTAAAAAGTGAATTTGCGCACACTGTTTCTCTCTCTTTGACTAGAATAAGACTCAGCCCCAAACAAGGAAGATGAGTTAAGTGAACGGCTAGCTTATCACTAGCAGAACGATTGACGATTACAGAAATTCGCCGACAATCAAATTCTGTGCTGACTTATTCCCTGCTCACAGATGTCCTTCCGCGCTAAAGTTTAAAATAAGGTTAGAATGCGCGAGCGGGAATTTATCAAACGTCCTTTTCATTTCTAAGCCGGGGTCTTAAATACTTGGCAGGCAAACAAAATGAACTGTAAATCTTTTCTGATGGTTTAGAATAAGCTAGAATAAGCTGTGTAAATCGAACTGAAACTGTGTTTGGAACCTTGCATTTCCTGTTTTTATCTCACCTACTGTATGGAATATGTGTGAATGAAATCTTCATAATGAATAGGTATATATCAAAGAGCTACACAACGACCAAGGATACTATAGCTATTGACCGACAGTATACAGATCGGGGGTAGCGTGTGCCAGGTTCTCAGATAGTATAGTGGGGACGTATTAAAACGCACAAAGCGAAAATAAGATGCGCGCGACTTGGGAACCGGGGGGTGGTCTCTTCCCAGCCCCCGCGCGTTTTTCGCATTTCTTTTTACTGAACGACTTTTAACCACTATCTTGGAGCCTTATTAAAAACACGCTAGAACGGGGAGAGCTGTGGTGTCAACTATTACTAGTTTTTATTCATATTGGTGGAATTTGAAAAGGTACTAAACAGCCCCGACTAAAAAATGGTACCCATTTTTCTTGTTACGAAAGTCTTCTGTTTAGGTTCGATTTATTATGACCAAGTACAATCCAGAGTATATCAAAAGGTGACATTAGACCCAAGTGTAACCCTAGTTAATGATTATAGAATCACACATATTGTAACATCTTCCAAAAGGGTAATATGTTCAAATGTTCAAACTGTTTTAAAACTCTCTCATGATATCAGTGATATGTTACGTCACGCAATGGTCCGTGACAAGCCTGGTTGCCTAAGTCTGCAGCCACCCCCTTCCCCAGGAAAATTGGCAGCCCAGTTAAAACCGCCTTTTGGCGATTCTTGTTTGCAAGTGTTTGCAGATGTTTTACATATGTTTTATCTTGAGACTAAGAGAAAGTTTCAATAGTCGTTTTCAGGAAGGGTTTACAATCCATATTAAGAAAACAAGAACTCTAGGTATTCGTTTGTTGACGACATCAGCCAGGCTCTATTTCCGCCGTTCTCCCGGTCCTCTTGGGGAGGAGAAGGAGCGCGGGCTCATTTCCCGAACAGCGGCTAGTAATCAGGGGCACCCAACGAGGATATAGTTCAAAACCACTTAACATAGCATTGTTGAATGTATTTTAGTATTCAATCGGTACATAGAGGCATATTTTTATCCCCTAAAAACTTTTCATCTGTTCGGATTTCCTAGCTGAAAATCTAGTGATCGGAAAATTATAGGAATAAAAACTTACCTTCTCGAAAATTTCAGCCAGAATAAGGCTCCCGGAAATTCTAGGTGGCCTTTTTTAGGGTCAAAATCCGTTAAGAATGAGTAATTATACCATTTTGTAGATGTTCGAAAATCCTAGGAGAGGCAGGCAAGCAAGAAATTTTACAACAAAGGCTCCGAAAATTCTAGATCTCAAATCGTCGTCCGAACAGATATTTTCCCGAAAATTGCCGTTGGGTGCCCTGAGTAATCGAGCGGAGATATGCTTTTGTATGCATAATTTGCCTCCATTTCAAGTACGGCCCTCGAAATCGAGGCTCTTTGGTTCTCAGTCAACCGATTAAAGAACACTCAGAACCCAAATAGGGTTTGACCCAGGGAGAAATGCTATTTCATATAGAAAGCCACGTTTTTGCTTGCGTTTTTGCAAGCGAAGAGTATGAATGCAAGTGAAGGTAAATTCCCATGAATTGAAGCAATATGTTTCTCAGTCGGTGTTTTGGCTAAATTTGTATTCAGCCAGGTTTTGTTGTATTTTATGTGGGGAGGAGCGTTGGGTGACGACACTAAAAACAGCTGTGTAGCAGAATAAATAAACTGCAACGGATGCAAATTATTTGAAATGTCATGCTTTACTCCCAGCACTTCACTTGCCACTGGAAACTGCTAGTAATATATGTCATGTGGCTAATGTTTAACAAAATGGCTGATGCTGAAAGATCAGATGCAGTAATTCATACAGTTCCTGATGAGGTTCCCTCTGAACATAGCCTGCGTAGCAAGCGTTTCCTCGCGAGGTTCGTCTAGAAAGTTGGAACAAGAGCAAAAAAACCTGAATGACGGGGGAGGGGGAGGGGAACGAAGGAACCTCTTCTCTCCTCCCCCTCCCCCTTCAACCTTTTTTTGCTTCCGCTCTAACCTTCGCGCAATAACTCGATTGGAAACGCTTGCTACGCAGGCTACTCTGAGCAGGCCTGGCTCAGACGCCGTACTTTTCATGTGCCGAACCTAACTGAATAAGTTCGACTTTGGAGCGACACTGGTGCGACATCTGATTCAGACGGCGTACCGTGTGTCCAACCTAAGTTAAGTTCGACAAAAGTTCGACAGACTCTGTCGAACTTAACGCTTTTGCCGCACCAAACTAAAACTGCCGTACCAAACTGATTCAGACGCCGCTCTTTTGCCGTACTTAATTCATCAGTTAGGTTCGGTACATGAGTGGAGCGGCGTCTGAACTGGGCCTGATTCACGTACGGACGAAACAGTAGTGTCCCTTTAGGACCGCTTTACCTCCAGCATCAAATCGTCTTTCAGGCACTCTCCCTGTACTGAAGTGCAGCGCCCCCAGCGGGGGTACTCGGGATTTCAAGTGACGGGGATGATCGAAATATTTTTTTGAGTTTGAAATTTTGGATTCCGGGATTTTTTTGGGTTCGAAAATTTAGCAAGTATTTTTTTGGGTAGCTTGATTTGAGTAGGGATTTTTTGGAGGTATTAAAAAGAATCAGTAGTGCCCTGGCTGCGTATAGTTCTGCGAATAAAGTACAAACAAACGTGTTTTGCTGTTGTTTAAATTTCCAATGTTTTTCTTTGTGTTATAGCATTACCACTTTCTGGAACTTTTAAGGGCCACCAAATCGGCATGGGATTTTTTGGGGGTTAATTTTTGGTCCAGGGATTTTTTGGGGTTTTGTTGGAAGCCCTAGGGATTTTTTTTGGGTCTTGACTTTTGGCTCTATTCGATCATCCCCGTCACTTGAAATCCCGAGTACCCCCCCCCCCCCCCTCGGGGACAGCGCCCTAGTCTTCTTGGAGGCTGCGGAGTACTGAAATAAGGCCGACTTTATGTGAAGTTGTTTAGAGTTTTGTTGTATGCTGTATACAAGAACGTCATTTCCTGAAATTTGTGTTGCCATTTCAGGTGACAGGCTAATTTTTGGTGTTTTTACTTTTTGAGATTTTTAGAACTTTTTCCAGATATGTTAAAAAAAAAATGGGAATTTCCAGAAACATATTTGGGCGCTTTTAGGTGATATTTGTATCTAGGGCTACGAGATCTCTAACGTTCTCCATGCCAATATCCCTCCGCGATGTCTTTATGTAGGGTTGTCGGACTCCCTCTTGCAGCCCTTGCACGTGTTTTGCTTGTCTTTCCAGGATATATTTTTCACCATTCGCAGACTTCTCGTGTAAGTTCCATCTAGGCTCTTAGCTTTTCTTCTTTTTTGGATGTATGTTCTGTTCTGAGTAACGGACACCTAGCCTGAGGAAGAGAAGCGAAGGGGCCGGGAACGATCTCGGACGTTTGAGATTCAACCCCCAGACATTTGTCATTTTTACAAAAAAGGCCCCACCTTGCGAGGACAACATAGAAGTTATATATTTTTGTAGTTAGCTGAAAACTGATTGCAAAACAATAAACTTAAGCTGTCGACTTAACCTTAACAAAAACAAACTGGAAAAAACCGACTTGAAAATTTTGCCGCTTGTCGGGAAGAACTTCGAGGCTCCTGATTTAACGTTAAGAAAGTGACTTTAATTAGAGTCGAATGTTATTTAAAGAAAAAATTGTGCTGACAGGACCAAAAAAGTCTTAATCAGCCAGTAACAACGGGATGGCTTAGTCGTCACACAACTTTTGAGTCGTCACGCACGTTGCGTCACGACACAATGTTCTTAAAATGCGCGGTGCCCTGGGAACGAGCGTTGTTTGGCAGAAGGCACGAAGGCGCCATTTTTGACTCGTTTGATGAGTTTCACCATCAAAAGTTTGCTGCAAAGCACTATGTTATAAACGAACTGGTAATGGGCAGAGCTTTACAGAAACATGCAAGGGGAAAGAGTCCTCAAATCACTTC